AGCCTCGTTCACGGAGCCAGTGCCAGCCTTTCTTGCTCGGTGCCGTTTTCGTCGCCAGCCCCATTTTCCGGGGAAGAAAGCAGGCAGGTTCAGGGGTTCTTGGAGTCGGCAGCGGGGAAGCCGACTTGGAAGCCCACACTCTGGCCGGGCGCGATGGCTCGTTGTTAGGCCGAGGCGAGAGGATGGCCTGAGCTCGGGGGTTCGAGACCAGCCTGGGCAACTTGGGGAGGTGGAGGGATGGCCTGCGCCCAGCAGCTCGAGGCCGCGGTGGCCGCGGGCATGCCCCCGCACTCCAGCTTGGGCGACAGAGTGAGATTCTAACAGAAAAAAAAAAAAAAAAGGAAAAGAAAAAAGTCCCACACGGCAACCTGGAACCGAGGGGCGGGGCAGGGCGAAGGGACCTCTCGGAACTCGCTGGCCTGTCTCCTCACCTCAAGGCCTCCCTACTTGTCGCCAGTGTTCATGCTCCAGAGCGAATGACCTGAGCAAAAGGCGGGGGCGGGAAAGTGGAAGGCCTGTTTGTGGTCTAGAGCTTCGGTGTCCGATAGAGCTGTCTGCGGGGATAGAGGCGATTTCAGAGAAGGCCTCTCTAGGGTCTCAGTCGAGGTGGGACCTAAATGTTAAGGAGTCAGACTCGGTCGGGTGCAGTGGCTCACGCCTTTAATCCCAGCACTTTGGGAGGCCGAAGTGAGAGGATTGCCTGAGCCCACGGGTTCGAGACCAGCCTAAGCAATTTGGAGAGCCCTCATCTCTATAACAAATAAAAAAATTAGCCGGGCCAATCTCGGTGGATCAACCTGTAATCCCAGCACTTTAGGAGGCTGAGGTGAGTGGATTGACCTCATCTCTACAATAAATCAAAAATTAGCCGGGCGTGGTAGTGCACGCCTGTAGTTCCAGTTACTTGGAAGGCTGAAGCGGAAGGATCGCCAGAGCCCAGCAGGTCGAGGCTGTGGTGGCCAGGAGCGTGCCACTGCACTCCAGCCTGGGTGACAGAGTGAGACTCCAGCTCAAAAAAAAAAAAAAAAAAAGGAGTCAATCTTGTGAAGAACTGAGGAAAAAGCCTTCCACGCAGAGAGAACAGCCAGTGCAAAGGCTCTGAGCATGGCATGTTGGGGAACAGAAGGCCAGCGAGGCTGGGGCACAGTAGGGCGGGAGAAATGGGGGCCAAGAGGGATCAGTCACTGCAAGGTGGGCAGGGCTGGATCACAGAGGGTCTCCCAGAACCTGGCAGGTTCTCTTTGTCTGTGGAGAACTGAAACTGAGGCTGACCCAACCCAGTGGACTCCACATTCCCAGAGAGATCCAGAGAGCTCCCTTCAGTCCGGATACCTTGCACCGACCGGGGCGGGGAAAGACAGCAGCATCCAACCCACTGAGGTTCATCCTCTGCTGAGCTCTCTTGCATCAGGCGACAAAGGGAAGGGGGAGTCTGGCCACTTCCCTGTCTCCTTTGTGACATCCACTTCCAAACTGGTTTATTTTAAAATATTATTTGTTCTCAGAACCTCTGTGACTCCCTCCTCTTCCTCCATAACAAGAGGTACATTTCTTGGAATAAAGAAAAAGCATGTTGAGCAGTTCTGAAGCGCCAGGCCCTGGACTAGGGTCTGGGCACGCCGTGGTGAGCAAACAGGTCAGGCCCCACCCGCATGGCTCACAGTCAGCCTAGAGGGGAAGTGACAGAAGTCTAATCCTGTGGGTGAATGTGTACATCTAGACTGTGAAAGAAGCTAAGAAGGGAACATTTGTATGCACCATGAGAGAGTTTAATGCAGACTTGGCCTAGTCTGGGCCTCTGGGGAGGCAGAGGGAAAGAAATAGCCACAATAGTAAGAGGAAGCCTGTAATTCACATGATCCTCACAACAGCCCTAGGAGATGGGTTCTATTACTATACCCATATTACAGATGAGGAAAAGGTTAAGACTCAAGACCATACTGGTTAGTGGCGGAGCCAGGATGTGGACCCAGAGAGCCTGGGTCCAGAGTCCATGCACTGATCCACTCTGATAAACAGATGTGGCTCTCTGGAGTCAGATGCCAGAACAGAGAAGAGTCATTTTTCTGCTTTACTACCTCCAGAGTAGACTTGACAGCGCAATGTCTTTCTCCGTCCCCAGGCACCCAGAAACTACCCGAGTCCCTCATGCATTGTCACCACCAGAGACCTTACTGCTGTGGGTTGCCTGGGTAGAGGGGAAAGGTATTGTGCTGAGTCAGCACACAGCCTGACTTAGGGGGAAGATCAAGGATCAAGGAAGGCTTCCTGGACAAGGTTACACCAGAAATGAATCCCAAAGGACAAGAAGTCGTTTTCCAGGCCAAGGACATGGAGGCTGCTTCAGGAGAAAGCATTTGCAAAGGCCTGGAGGTGAGAAAGAGAGAGCACTGACTGACTGAGCTCTGCAAGGGACTCAGGACCAAGATGGTGAAGCATGTGGGAGCTCAACTTAAGCATTGCCTGATGTCCCAGAGACTGAGAGATGCTACAGGTGAGTTAAGCAAATGCCCAAGTGCCCACCTGTTTCTACAGTTTTTGCCCCTCCCGTAAGATTAAATAAGCCGGGCTCGGTGGCTCAGCCTGTAATCCCGCGCCTTTGGGAGGCTGAGGTGAGTGGATTGCCTGACCCGCCTGGGCAACTTGGCGAGACCTCATCTCTACAATAAATCAAAAAATCAGCCGGGCGTGATAGCGTAATTCCGGCTACTCGGAAGGCTGAGGCGGAAGGATCGCCGGAGCCCAGCTAGTCGAGGCTGCGGTGGCCGGGAGCGGCCACTGCACTCCAGTCTGGGCGACAGAGTGAGACTCCAACTCAAACAAAAAAAACAAAAAAAAACAAGATTAAATAAGAGCAGGTAAACTAAGAGCAATGCCGCAGGTAGAGGCCTGCGAGAAGAATCTAGCATCTTGACCTTCAACTAGATGCAATAAAAAGCAAGGGCTGCCGGAAGTTGGATAAATAAATGAAAGCAGAGAGCTAGGAAAGATGGACACCAGCATCTATGGAGACCTGGGCTTGGTTGAGACAGCCTGGGAGGCAAGGTCGGGAGGGGTCTAGGATAAAATGCAGTAACTCAGCCTGGTATCATGGCTCACGCCTGTAATCCCAGCATTTTGGGAGGCAGAGGACAGAGGATTGCCTGAGCCCACAGGTTTGAGAACAACCTAGATAACATGGCAAGATCTTGTCTCTACAATAAGTCAAAAAATTAGCCAGGCGTGGTGGCACACACCTGTGGTTCCAGCTACATAGAAGACTAGAACAGAAGGATTGCCTGAGCCCAGCAGGTCGAGGCTGCGGTGGCCATGAACCTGAAACTGCACTCCAGCCTGGGTGACAGAGTGGGACTCCGACTCAAAAAAAAAAAAAATTCAGGCCAGGTGCAGTTGGGAGGCCAAGGCAAGAGGATTGTCTGAGCCTGCAGGTTCAGGACCAGCCTGAGCAACATGGTGAGACCTCATCTCTACAATAAATCCAAAAATTAGTTGGGCATGGTAGCACGCGCCTGTGGTTCTGGCTACTTGGAAGGCTGAGGTAGAAGGCTGAGGCGGAAGGATTGCCTGAGTCCAGCAGGTTGGGAGTCTGTCACTGCACTCCAGTCTGGGTGACAGAGTGAGATTCCAACTCAAAAAAAATAATAATTATTATTAAGATCTAATATTCAATAAAAGACATTTCCCCCATTTAGAAAATTGACATAGTTGTAGATTCACATATAGTTGTAAGATATAATTCAGAGATCTTTGGACACTTTGTCTGGTTTCTCCCCGTGGTAATTAATCGTGTAAAAACTATAATGCAGCCGGGCTCAGTGGCTCAGCCTGTAATCCCGTGCCTTTGGGAGGCTGAGGTGAGTGGAGTGAGACTCCAACGCAAAAAAAACAAAAACAAAAAAAAGACTATAATACAATAGCATAATCACTATTTTTTTACATTATTTTGCTGGCACTAAGTTATAGTTTAGTGGCATTAAGTGTTGTATAACCATCACCACTGTCCCTTTCTAAATCATTTTTGTTATGTCCCCAAAAAGCTCTGTACTCATTAATTAACAATTTCCCATTGCCTTCTCTCCCCATCCCTTAGAGAGTATCATTCTGCCTTCTCTCTATATAAATTAGCCTACTCCGGGTTCCTCATGTTAGTGGAATCATACGACATTTGTCCTTTTACATCTGGCTTGACTCACTTAACATAATGTCTTCAAGGTTCAACCGTGCTGTAGCATGTATGAGAATATCATCCCTTTTTTTTTTTTTTTGGAGTCTCACTCGGTCGCCCAGACTGGAGTGCAGTGGCCGCTCCCGGCCACCGCAGCCTCGACCTGCTGGGCTCCGGCTATCCTTCCGCCTCAGCCTTCCGAGTAGCCGGAACTACAGGCGTGCGCTACCACGCCCGGCTGATTTTTTGATTTATTGTAGAGAGGAGGTCTCGCCAAGTTGCCCGGGGAGTCTCGAACCCGCGAGCTCAGGCGATCCACTCACCTCAGCCTCCCAAGGCGCGGGATGACAGGCTGAGCCACCGAGCCCAGCTGAGAATATCATCCCTTTTTAAGGCTGAATAATATTCCATTGTATGCACATAGCACATTTTGTTTATCCAGTCATCCATTGAAGGAAGCTTGGATAGTTTTTGCCTTTTAGCTACTGCGAATACTGTTGCTATGAACATGG